CTCGTCTGGCAAGGGCAGCAAACACCGCCCGAGCACCAGCGCCCAGCGCCAAAACGCCTCCGCGCCGCCGCCCCCGACTTCCCGCGGCCAGCGGCGCTCCTCGCGCGGCGCGGCAAAAGAACAGCTCTGCAACGTCGGCACAGCAAGCATCAACGGTTGCACAAGATGCACACACTAAGGGCATTGGATGAGGGACCCTTGGGTAAGGAGCCCAGAGCCTGGAAGCCAGTCAAACACCGATTGAGGCTTGGCCACGGATATCACTGTCGCCATCATCCGATAGGTAAGAAAATATCCCAAGGTCCCAAGCCTCCTGGGCACATTCCTCAACGAACGCCCACCACCCGATTCTCAGTAGGCGGTAGTTTGCCCCAAATGGCTGCGCAACTCAGACAACCGACTGTTCTAATCAGGTCGTCGCTCTCTTCACGACGACCCAGGCATGCGGCTTTTTTTTTGGCCCGCGGGCAGAACGAAAACATGAGCAATCTAACAGCCACTGCTTCTCGCTGCATTGGCCTGCTCCCGAGCGGCCACCCGAACTCTCAAAGCCTCCAACCAGTCATTGGTGACGAGGGGGCGAGGGGACGCAAAACCCTCAACAGCTTGACACAATCGCGCGAGGTGGGGCCACGATGGGGGGCCAAGGTGGCGGGCCACGATGGCCACCGATTTCTGGGGCCCCGCACCTCTCACCAGGCGTGACAAAAACTAAACAACCTCTCTCTATATCTATGTATCTCTCTATCTATACACACATATATATATATACATACGTACATACATACATCCATACATACAGCTACGCATACATCCGTACATACATACATCCGTACATGCATGCATAAATACATACATATATACGTACGTCCGTGTGTACGTACGTACATACATACATCCATACCTACATACGTCTATACATACATACATACATACATACATACATGCATGCATGCATACATACATACATACAAACATACATGCATGCATGCATGCATGCATGCATGCATACATACATACATACATACATACATGCATGCATACATACATACATGCATGCATGCATACATACATGCATGCATGCATGCATGCATGCATACATACATACATACATACATACATACAAATATATACATACATACATACATGTATACATACATGCATACATACATACGTGCATGCATACATACATACATTCATGCGTTCATGCATGCATACATTCATACATACATACATGCATACATACATACAGACATACAAGCATACATATGTGTGTATGTGCAGCCCCCCCGCTCCAGCACCCATTAATTGTCATTGCGAATCGCGCTGCTCGCACTCGCATGTTATGTACTGTCCGATCCGTTCTCACCCTACAACGGCGGCATTGAATAAGGAACGTCATCTGGAGGGCCAAACCTCGGTGGATTCCTTCGCTTCGAGGCGGAATGGGCGATGTAGCCCACAACAGGCCGCCTATGTGTGGCGAGACCCTTGGTTCTTTATTGAACGTCTGCTGATCCAAAACCCCACCTCTTCTTACTATCCCTCTACTCGTCCATCCTCTTCCTTCACTTCTTCACCCCCTGTCTGTCTTCCTCCTCCTGCTCCTCGTCGCTCTTCTCCTCCCCCCACCTCCCCTTCCTCCTCCTCCTCCTCCTTCCTCTTCCTCCTCCTCTTCCTCCTCCTCTCTTCTTCCTCCTCCAGGGTTTGCGACGTCGGTGATGCACAAACCCCATGAATTCATTGGGATGCCTTGGATTTCTGGGGTGCAAATCAACGAAATCCTGCGATGTCATTGGGATCCCTGGGGTTCCTCAGATTTTTCATGCCTTGGAACAAAACCAACCTTGAAATCCCCAGGAGGTCCAGGGCTCAGAGTCCCAGGAATCCAAATGAAATCATAGGGTTCGCGACGTATGTGATGCGCAAACCCTATGATTTGATGTGGATTCCTTTGGTTTCCCGGATGCAACGAAGCCTTGTGAGGTTCATGGGGTCCGTGTGATTTCACACCCTGGAGCAAACCGACTTTGGGATCCTCAGGAGGTCCAAGGCTCAGAATCCAAAACAAACTAAGTGAAATCACATGGTTCGCGACGTCGGTGATGCGCAAGCCCTGCGATTTCGCTTGGTTTCCTGAAATTTCTGGAACGCGAATCAAGGAAACCTCAGGATTTCACCTGGATTCTTGGGATTCCTAAGATTTCATGCCTTGGAGTAAAACCAACATTGGGATCCCCAGAAGGTTTATGGCTCAGAACCCAAGAAACCCAAATGAAATCACAAAGTTTGAAACGTCGGTGATGCGCAAAACCTACGATTTCACTGGGATTCCCAAGATTCCCGGAACGCTAGCCAACGAAACCCTAAGATTTCAATCAGGTTCCTGGGATTCTTCAATTTCATACACTGGAGCAAAACCAACCTTGGGATCCCCAGGAGGTCCAGGGCCCAGAGTCCGAGGAATCCAAATGAAACCACATGGTTCGCGACGTCGGTGATGCGCAAATCCTGCGATGCCAGCTGGATTCCTGAAATTTCTGGAATGCGAATCAACGAAACTTTGCGATTTCATTGGGGTTTCTGTGGCTCCTTGGATTCCAAGCCCCAGAGCCAAAACAAAATACGAACCCCGGGGGTCACAGAACGTCAAGGCTGAAAATCACAAAGATCCAGGAATCCAAATGAAATCATAGGTTTTGCGCACCACCGACGTCGCGGACCATGTGGTGATTATATTGGGATTCATGGGATTCTGAGCCCTGGATTTCCTGGAGATCCCAAGGTTGGTTTTGCTCCAGGGTATGAAATCCCAGAAATCACACAAATTCCAAAGAAACCATAGGGCTTCGTTGATTCGCATCCCAAGAATCCAAGGAACCCAAATGAAATCACAAGGTTTGCGCATCACCGACGTCGCGAACCGTGTGATTTCACTTTGTTTTTTTATACTGAGCCCTGGGCCTTCTGGGGATCCCAAGGCTGGTTTTGCTCCAAGGCGTAAAACCATTGAATCCCAGGAACACAAATGAAACCACAAGGTTCGTTGATTTGCCGCATAAATCACAAGATTCGCGCATCACCGAGGTCGCGAACCATGCGATGTCACCGAGATTCCTGGGACTCTAGGCCCTGGACCTCCTGGGGATCCCAAGGTTGGCGCTGCTCCAGGGCATGAAATCTCATTAACCACAGGAACCCCAATGACACCACAAGGTTCCGTTGATTTGCATTGCAGAAACCCCAGGAAATCCGAATGAAATCATAAGGTTTGCGTATCACCGGCGTCGCGAACACTGTGATTTCAAAGGATTCCTGGAATTCTGAGCCTTGAACCTCCTGGGGATCCCAAGATTGGTTTGCTCCAGGGTATAAAATACCAGAAATCCAAAGAGTCCAAATTAAAAACCATGTGCCGTGGTTTGCATTCCAGAAACCCAAGGAACCCAAATGAAATCACAGGGTTTGCTGATTTCTCGCCTACAGGATGGCTCACACGCCTGTTGCCCCTCTATGTAGAGGAAGCAGACGCTCATATATGTCACACTGGCGCTGCTGAAAATGTGCTGCTGGCGGATGCAGGGGAACAGCGAAGAAAGAGAGGAGCGGAGAGGAAAGGGAGAAAGTAGGGGAGCGGCACGACTCCAGCCTCATGGAAAGGATGAAGGCGCAGAATGGGCGCTGGGGGGGCTGTCCATATCTCTCTCTCTCTCTCTCTCTCTCTCTTTATCTCTCTCTCTCTCTCTCTCTCTCTCTCTCTATACATATATATATATAGAGAGAGAGAAATGTATATATGTATTTATATATATATATATATACAACCTAGCCCTATATACACACATGCATATATGCATACAAACATACATACATTCTCATGCATAAATGCATGAATACATGCATGCATGTATACAGACATACATGCACACACATATATATATAGACGTATATAAGAGGAGGAGCGAATAGGGTGTATATCTACATACATATACATACATGCATACATGCCTACATACATACATACATACATACATACATGCATGCATGCATGCATGCATGCATGCATGCATGCATACAATACATACATACATACATACATACATACATACATACATACATACATGCATGCATACATACATACATATATACATACACACATACATACATACATATGTACATGCATACGTACATGCATGCATGCATGCATGCATACATACATACATACATACATACATACACATACATGCATGCATGCATGCATGCATACATACATACACACGTGTATACATATATACGCATACTGCAAAGCAATTATCCTCCCCCAAACTCTGATGATGGATGGGAGGGGATATTTTTCTTGAGCCAAAATATGGCGACGGTGCAAGAACTCATTCTCTGTCTTCAGCCTGGCCCTGGGAATACCTGCTGGGGTACCCCTCTGAATTGTCACATATCCGAACACCTCTCCTCAGGCATGGAGCGGTGAAGGGCCGAAAAACTGCATCGCTACTTCCAGTCTCGGTGATCACTCCGAGATCTTCCGTAACGGCGTGCAAGCCGTCTCCAACAGCACCAAATGACTCTCCAGCACCTGCTTCGTGAGCAGGAGGCGTGGCTGCACAGAACAACTCAGACCAGCCTTGGAAAGAAGGGCACGAACGCGCTCTAGGCGCTCTGCCTGCTCCACAGTAGGGCTCGCGCCAGCCGAGATGATCATCTCAATCAGGCGCCCCTTCCTCACTGAGCCCACCCCAAGGCCGATCTTGTTCGCACGAGCCGTAGCCCGTAGGTCAGGCACTGTCAGCCTTGAAAGAACTAGCTGCACTCTCGCATCTCCGTCGCTTGCGGTCTGCTCAGGAGCTGCACTGTCATCAATCAGCGTCTCTGGACGCTCGTGGCAAACCGCGGTGGAGCACACTCGGGCTCCAGCACAACAGCCTACTAGAAAAGAGAGCAGCGCTATACTCAGAGCCATCACGATCAGTAGCCAGGGCGCGCCTTTGGCGCCCGCCTCCGTCTCCTGGCCGCGCGCCGTCGGTAGCAGCGCGCTCACCACCACTGCTCCGAGCGGCACGAGCCGCAGGTTCATGGTCGCCATG